GTGTATATGTCCATGTATTTTTCTCGATATTTGTACGAAGTTTAGAAATCTAACTCATTTGCAGTTCGATTCAAAAAAAACAAATCTATATATACACTAGAATCACTTGGTACTTTTCCATCTACATGTTATTCATCAAGTATTGTTCATTTAAATATTGCAATGGAGGCTTTTGATGATTGTCTTTGGTTGCTCGATGGTCATTTTAGTCAATTACATACATTAATTGTTCATGTCGAACACATTCATAATACGTCAAAGATTATCAAAAATACGGGAATATATTTTAAATCACAGTGAAAGATTTCTTTTATTTTGATTCTTGATAAAACAATCGAAGCAATTAAATATCAAGAAATAAACTTAATTCTAAAATGCTATGATTTAATATACTCGATAAAATTTTCATTTGATCATTGATGAATAAAAGAAAAAGATCGAAATAGAATGAAAATAATTGTTTAGTTGTTAGATCTAATTTTGAATAAATAATATAAATAATACTTATTATTTGTATTAATTTTTATAGAAAATTGTATCTAATTTCAAATGTTTCTCGTGAACTTCATTTTCTACAACATTGAAATATGATAATCAAATTATCCCATTTCTACATCAAATGTCTCAATTAGAGAAATTAATATTATCTCTTTATGTTCATAGTCGAACTTCATTTATTGATGGTAATCAACTAGATAATGATATCATTAGTAAAATACCATATTTACATTCATTTATTTTTGATATTGTCACTAAAGATGACATAATCGACGAAGAATATTTACCAACATCTGATAATGTTCGACGTGCGCTCATTCGAAAAGCATATAATGTTGGTTGCTATATTGACTATCTTTCTACTGAAAGCGGTCGATGCCATATTTACTCACTTCCTTTTACTATGGAGCGTATACAAGAAATTACTAAAAAATTTCTTCCTGACGGTGTATTCATAAATGTTCGTAAGTTATGTGTGAATGATTCGGTGCGTTCAATTGAATATGATTTCTTCGTTCTAATCTCACAAGCATTTCCATTACTTGAAGATTTAACCGTATAAAGTACGGTGAAACAAAAGAAACGAGCAAATAAACTAGATAAACATGCACACACATTTTCAATTATTGAATATTCTCATCTTACGACACTCGGTTTAATTATGTCTCATGGCGACTATGCGAAACAGTTTCTTCTCAATACAAACACTCGTTTACCTCGTCTTAGCACACTAAGTATTGACTATGGAAATCTGGTAAATGTAAGAGAAAGTTTTACAACCACTACAGCTCATGCCAACTGTGCTTTGGAGAAATGGTCCTCCTCAAGGATTTTTCATCAATAGAACTTTTTTCGAGTTCGACATTTTTTCCGATTCTATTGACATTTGATAGATAAAAATGAAATATTCAACGAAAACAGCGATTTCTCTAAGTTTAAAAAATCATATGTCTGCCTGCTCTGTGGGTGTGAGTGTACGTCTAGGTGTGGATGTAGACTGCTCAATTATGAGGTGTACGCGTGCGTGTGACTGACAATGCTCTCTTCACCTATACCCGCCCACATCCACACCCCACACCGGCACGCACACCCCACGCTCACTCACAACCGCACCCATCCACACTCGTTCTTCACAAGGAAATGTTAACATGTTTATGCAATGTAATTCGCTGAAATCATTGAATAACAGATTGTTTCGGAAAGTTTCATCTTCATCGGTTCCATCTAAACAATCTTTAATTATCCAACTATTTCAAAAAAAATTCAAATGGTATACATTGACCTCCATTATGACATCGATATTCGTCTTCTTTACATTAAGTCTTTTCAAGTTGATCATATATGCATGAGATATGACCAAGAGTGTAATTCGTATTTTTAATAGAAGTCGTAAACAGAATATACTTTTGAGAATTTCTTGTCGAGTTGCAAAGTATTTTACAGTACTATTTTAACCCGTTTATGAGGAAAAAACCAATATAAACAATTGAAAAGCGAGAGACTAGCATGCTGCTTGATTTGTTTTCTCTGTCTTCTGTAGATCTTTTTCTTGCTTATGCCTAGCATCATAACCACCATTGAAGCAAATTAAGGCTGAGCCTGAGAATTTAGTGGTTAAATGTCGAAAATCGAACTTCTTTCAAATTTCAGATTTTGCCCTCATCCGCAGTCAGACATTGTGTGCATGCATGTCATAATTTTATTCAGTCTCCAGAACTTCAAAAAAACTGTTTCGTCTAGGATTTACAAGAGCTTTTGGTTTTTAATATTTTGCTTTTCAACATTCTATAATTTTACCAGTCTCGGTAGTAAACGATTATCGCTCTATGAATGAAGACTTTAAGCCTCAGTAGTAGCCAATATGACACTACAGAATGCATGAGAGATGATGAAATCCTGTTTTTGCTGTTATTTATATCCATCCAAGATATATTGAAGACTAATATGTCACTATATCAAGATAAGATAAATAGCAGCAATAGTGTCCTTGTGATGACTGCTCTTTTACTTCAGCTTTCTCATCCTATCAATGATAGCAACTATCTCCTGATTAAAGACCAAGAGCTTTGTTTTAATCCATATGTATACTTTGTATGTAAGCTCTTCTCTTTTTCAAAACAACATTATATCTCAAAACTAAAAGGCAGAAGTAATTTTGTCATATACGGTCTGATCATATTCAAAAAAATTTCTTACATTCTCCTCTTCATTGAATTAATAATCGCTTGTATCGCTGTTAGCACATGCTTTATCGTTGGAGAAGCAACAGTAATAACTGTATCAACAAGACCTGAACCTCTTCCGACACTATTACAGGTGCTTAACAATGAATTTCGCCGTCAGTATGTGAAAGCTCGTGATAGGTTTTGGCACTTAATAACTGAAAATGGCACAGTCATTATAAAAAAAAACGGAAATTCTCTTACTTTTATTCATAGAGGAATCCGTTATTCGGTGGTCAAAGTAAGTCCACCGATTGTTGATGAATTGAAGAGTATTGCACATATTCCACTCACTGTCTTTTTTCTTCTTACAGACAATTCACCTACTTTGCCCGATGATACACTCGAACGATACTGGAAACGGTTGAATAATCTTCAGCTGCCAGATTCAATCGAGTCAGTGCGTCAGCCAGCTCTCCGAATTATACATGAATCGAGCACACTCCTTCGACAATAAATCGACAATGGAGTATCAGTTAACTAAAGTCATCTAATAGCCTATAGTCGGCATATCTCGAATTATTTGTTTGCGCTATTAGAAGCCGTTGCCATAACTCATTTGAATATGACTCATCATATCATTCAAAATTGGCTGAATGAGCATAATATCAATCGACACGATCCGCCAATAAAAGTACTTATTATCGGTTCTCGAGTAGCTCATCAAAATAATCATGAAACTACTTATTTTGAACACCTTCTCGGAGACGAGCGACGACGAAATATTATCTACATTGAAGAACTATTTGATGAGGAAGAGAAAGCCTTTTCAATTTTTTCTACCTGGTTCTTACAAGAACAACTGAATGGTACTCTTTTCAATAATACTGATCGGATGCATAGTGACTTGCTAATGACCGATACTGTGCGGCAATACATAATCAAAGAACTAATTCATAGTTAGAGACTACATTTTAAAAGAGAACCTCCACGAAAAAACACCGATCAAAGTGGTCAGATGTTAATTTTTCCCAATTTGACCTCTCCATTCTATGAAGTTCTTTGCTTCAATCAAAAGTGTAAAATATTTTGGTTTGAAACCTCCAAATAGAAAAGTGTTACTGGGAGACTGTTAATCATATTTTAGTGAAGATAATAACGAAGTCGAGTTACTATATAATTTTTATAATTGTAGCTATTTAATTTTCAATCCAGCAATATTACTAGCCACAATCAGTCAAATAAATCTATCCACTATCGATTCAAGTGTAGACAGTGATCTTATCAGTATTTCATGATGTAGTTCCGTATGAAGAGCTGTTTTACTGAGCTTCTCTTTGATATGATCTAGTTTTTTGTCTATAATTTGAATATTCTTCTTCGTACCTAAAGAATGGGGGCGTCTAAGAGCCATTTTTGGGTCATTGCCAGCTTTCCTTCGTTCATGATTTACCTGGTGCAGAATTTCAAGAGGAATCGTTTGGTAACAAAATAAAGCCATTTCTGAGAGATTTAGACCTAGTTTAGATCAAAATATTGATATTGACTTTTATACTGTATATGGATGATTCATACGATTGTGCATTGTAATCGGTATAATGCATTTGAGAAGAGATACTAGCTGGTGACTCGAGTACTTTTTTTTGCTGTACGACCATAACTTTCGATAGCCCTCAATTTTGTCTCATAGTTTTGGCTCTCGACAGTTTTTGAGTTAATTGGTACCTCCACCAATTTTTCAGAGCCGAACCATGAGGCAGTCGTTTGGGGAAAATGTACAAAACATCTTTTCATGAAAATCATATTTTTCTAAGAAATGAATGGGAAGTAAGTTTTATTCATTGAACCGAAAAAAATGTAACCTATAAAAATTTTCAATTTTATTGATTTAGATTAAGATCAATTGAACTTTCTAGAAAATTAAATGTTGGATCTTCTAAGAGAACATTTAGGAACATGCGTTATTTTTCAGCTTGGATATTTGCCAAAGAAAAATTTTGCCAAACTTTTGACAAATCCAGTAAAATATCACATTTAAAAGAAAGATTTGAAAGTCATATTGATTTCTAAAAGTCCATTATCTCAAGCGTAGACCTGTTTTTCGACGTACTGAAGTAAGGCTAGTAGGCCAGCTAATGTTTCTTCACCACTTGGAATGATTTGGTCTTCGGGAAGCAAAAATCCATATTTACCTATTGAATAAGGTTTCCGATAACAGTTTGTTAAACTTGAACAATTACACTTACCAGTATCACGAAGTTCGACACCATAGCTAAATATCACATTGGCTGTGCCATAGATCCAATCGACCGTACTACCAGATGCAACATAGATAGTTTGAGCAATATTGCCATGCTGATACTGGGTACCTTTAATATTAAACAAAAATGATTTCGAAACAAGGAGTATTTCGCAGTAGACGAACCATGTACAGCAGCGAGTGCGTTAATAGCTTGGATAGATCCATCATCTTGTATTTTGAATTGTGACGGTTTCATGGTTGTATACGCTAGGGAGAAATGTTGAAAGAGAAGATCGAACTTAACATTCGAAGCTTACCCCATGGTGACATCCACAATTGTGAGTACGAATGAAAATTGATATAGTGCACAATCGTATCCTGGTGATCAGCGATGAATTTAGCTACTTGAGCTGTTTCAATTTCGGAAAATGCTTTTTCACCACAGAAAGTGTCTGAACACGGATCATGCGAAGCGCCGCCTAGAATTAATCATGTGAAGACGAAGATATCACAATGAGCAAAACGACAAACTCACTTTCACACCAATGATAATCCCAATTACGATTCGGATCAGCACCATAACAGAGTGGAACCGATGTTTTGCTGCGAGTCTTGCGCCATAATCGATCTTGAAAAAAAAGACAAATTTTGATAGGAATATGCTTCTTTGATGTTAACTATCACCTTTTGTCCATGTATATGCATAGCCATCAACATTAAATACAGGCAAAATATAATAATCAAATTGATCAACTAAATGCGTAATGGTTGGATCTTGGCCATACTTTGATAGAAGAGCATAGGCAATATAGATGACCGTTGCTGGGCTGATCCATTCTCGAGCGTGAATTCCTACATACGTATGCAGTCGAAAATAAACGTGATTAAAAAAAATAAAGAACAAAAAACCTCCGTCCCACCAAACAGCCTTTTTCGTGGTGGCTTTGGTGCCATCATGCCTGGTTGCCATCTTCTTTGATGAGATTTTGAAGCCTTTCATATCTCTATTTTCGTATGATTTCCCCACAGTAAACGATGTGACCATGTCCGGATACGTTGCAACGATTTGATCAATCCATGCATGAATGTCTTCAATAGTGTATACTTATCGTAGGCAAAATCATTTGTGTTCGGTGATGATTGAGGTAAATTTTGTAGAATTCTTTGCCTTTCAATTATTGCACCAATATCAGTCATATGAACCGTATATTCGATTTTCACACCATCTGATGTCAAGAAGTCAGCAAAATCTTCGATTGCTTGAGGTGGTACACGAACATCGATCTATTTGAGGGAAAAAAAAGGTCGTCAACTATAATGAAGGAAAACATGTTTGAATAAGAACTTACTGGTTTATTAATACGAAAGCGTTCTGACCAAAAGTTGATATCGTGCAGGTGGACTATGCGACTGAAAGCGAGTATTTTAGCAACTTGTTCGTTGTTAGTGACATGTAAACGCCACAGCTGATGATTTGCATACGATTTGGTATAGTTTGCATTTGCACCAATTGTTATGGATAGAATAAGAATGATGAAAGGAACAGGCAACACTTTTATTCTCATAGATGAAAACTGACTCATACAAAATAAGAAAAATGGTACAAAATGGCTGTCTTTGTTACATTTATAGATGTGGAGATCTTCGAAGAAAGATAATAGAGACAACAGATAAGATTTTGTTGTCCTTGTCATCCTTACCAGTTGCAAACACAAAACAAAGGTGACTTGATGTTAATGCAAGAAAAAGTATGATCAACATGACGAATTGCATAGCATCCAAGCATTCGTCAACATATCAAGTTTTTCTATGACCAGAGAGATGATAGAACAGATCTGCTGAAGTTTATCTATGTTGGTTAGAGTAAGATAAAACACAAATGCATTCCTTCAACCAACCAAAATAAGTCGATGAAACACCTGAAAAATCCCATTTGGAATTGATGAGTCTCATTTGAGTTTTATAGAAATCGATGGGATATTTTTTTTAAAAAATCTCGTGAACGTCCGATGTTCTAATGCAACTACAGTACTGGTCAAAATAAGATATTCATGATCAACGCGATACATTGATACTGCCACAACATTCACAAATATTGTACGATTCAATGACTTGGGTTAACAACAAAAAACTGATCTTATCACAAAATGACGATTATAATTCCATTATCAGACCCGACAATTTTGATGCATGTGAAACTATTTCTCAGTTCAATGTTTCCCCATCAAACAAGCCTTTACGACTCTACTCAATCTTGTCTAAGCATCAACGAATACTACTCGACGAGCATTTAAGTCGAATTTTTCGAGTAAAAGAAATCACAACGGTGATTAGGTAGTATAAAATTCAAATATTTTCTGTAATAGTCAAGATTTCATAGTGCTGACATATTTTCGAGGCCGATTGATCGATAAAATTCTTTTAGTGGTAATAAAATGACAAGAACCTTTTTATTTCCATCAATGCATTTGTCTGAGGCATACCAGCATTTGGGCACTACTGTGCACCAAATGTCTATCAAAATGATTGATTTCATTATAATTTAAGTGAACACTAGAAGAATAGATGCACTTGCGATTTTCAAAATCTATTTATCCACAATCACTTTTCTGTGGCTCGAAGTTTTCACTAGTTGATTATGTTTCGTGAACAAGTGGTTTAGTGGCAATATTTTGTTGATGAAGACTAATTTTTATCGTAAATATACCGAACATGAATGGAATTAGTAATGAACTAACAAGTTGCAAGACATCCATCAGGATGAATCAATAGTTTTTTAATGAACGATATGAAATTCTGTGTTTGAACTGAAACATCTTTTCGCATATCATGAAGAATCAAAGGGTGTGGGCGGGTGTGTGGATGTGTAGGTGTGAATGTGGGTGTGAGGGTGTGGGTGTGTTGGTATGGGTATGGATGCCGACGTGGAGATGTGATTCTTCCCTTTACCAAGAGCAACCCAAATACCCCCACCCACACCCACACCCTCAAGGAGACGTAGGTGTATGACTATGGTGTGAAGTTGAATAAATAATATTTATACCCATATTTACACTGATATTCTACGTCCATATATACAGGCATCTGTGTACGAATTGCCTTACAATCACTAGAAACATATACGATAGGAAATCGAGTGGAACAACTTCTTCAGAATAATTGAAAGTGTTATCTCGATCAGAAATCTTCCACTAGATTCAAGTGAAAAACTTGAATTCTACCGGCAAAATTCTCAATGTTTTCTGCTCGGTCAATTACTGTCAAGTGGCTTTGTTGAATGAAGATTGTTTATGCAAACGTCTCTTATTAGACTTTCCCTTGATAAAAGTTCATACTTTTTTGTATTGAATGAATGAAACGGTGAGCAATTGAACTTTTACAAATCACCGATTTCATGGCCAAGATAACATGTTGAGAGTTTTCATATTTAAAGAGTGTTTATGGTTTCTTTTGAAAAGGTTGAAAAAGTTATGAGTAGAAGATATACGCAAAGTAAGACAAATTTTACTTTAGTTTAGAGACTATGGAGTTTAGTCTGGTAAAAGATAAGGACTTGAAGACACATGTGAAATCTAGCTATACATTTATTAACAACTTTCTCATTTCTTTGTGTATTGTCATGTCATTTATTTTATTTCAAAACAAAATCAAAAAAGAAAAAGCACACCATATATATGTCTTCGAAAATATTCCTTCTTCCTCACATACAACGACATACCAATGATGTTTCTTTTCTATGAAAGCAATACACGAAAAGAGAAGAAAAACGAAAAGGTAAAAGGAAGAAATCAAAAAATGCAATACGTAGAATAAGAACAAACAAGAAAGAATAAGCAATCTAACTAAAGATAAATCATGGTCGAGTACAACGACAAAATTTCAGTTTTATCAATCGAATGCAATCAATTCTATGGCAGACGATGGAGCTAGCTGCTCAACTTTATTTAAGTCATGTAAGTTAAGATTACATGCAGCTGACTGAAGTTCAGCGTGGTCGAAGGACTGAGTCGAATGTATTCCATTGGATGCTGGTGGGATAGTGGACACTCGAGAGAATTCAATTGGTTCGAAATTTGATCCGCTTATGTGTGTATTAAATCTTGGTGATGCGGCACAATTTTCATCGATTCTTGTCATTCTGTTTTCACCAGTTGTTTCTACTCCGAGACGATGACGAGTAAGAATTCGTTCACGTGCATTATAACCCCAAACGAGGCCGATCAGAAGTAGTAGACCAACAACTAGACCAACGACGAGGCCGACAATTAAGGCGATATTATTCGAATTATCGTCATTACTCGCTAGATTATTACTTGATGAAGACGAGAGCGAGTACAAACGACCATTGATATGTAACATTATAAGATTTAAACCCGGTATGGCATTGGGATCCGATAACATGCTTGTAACTGCTTTTGATATATTTGTATTTTCTGAGTCGACCTGAACAATCGCGCCCACGCTACCTAAAACAGCAAAAAAAAGGTGCGAGATATATAGATTTTTTACTTTTGAATTCTAGAAACCTTTCATCAGAATGATATCGCTGATGAGAGGCATGTCAACACTAATCAGATAATTGTAGATCATTGCACGTATAATTTCAAGTTCACCGCTAGCATTGAGTGCATCAAAGTCGCCTGCAAATGTAAAGTTGCTTGAGATTGCATCGATTTCAGTAATAAAATTATCTTAAGAAGATACATGATCATCAATGGTTGTCTTTTATAAGCACTAAACTTACCACTATTTTCTTTAACGAGGATACCATTCGTTGGTAGTGCAATGATATGTTCGTTGTTTGAAGAAACCAATCGAATTTGCAGCACATACATACCGGTAGCATTGATGGCTAAATTAGTGACCGTAACTGTACCTGCTACGAGATCAATATTAGTTCTTGATGAATTGTTTTTGACCAATGATCCGTGTCGATTGAATTTCGGCAAGCTAAACAGAGTGACATTAGCCGACCATCGCCAACTTCCCCATTGAATTTGACCCAGACGTAGTCGAGTAACATTATCGACTGGCATGGCAGCGATACTAAATGTTTCATTGACATTGACAACATAAACATTATTCACTTGTTGACCAGCTAGAACTGCTTGTGTCACAGAGACAGAAGCAGCTTGAACAGTCAGGTTGGTTGTCGCTAAGAATGAACTATTAAACAGAACGAGTCGATTTCAAAATGACTAAGAATAACTGCTCAATACCTGTTGACACCATCTGGTTGAATCAGAGTAAATTGAACTTGCTGAGTACCGATATCCGGTAGAGTGAACAGAATGTATTGTGTTTGTCCATCAGAATAATTGGCTATACCACCTGGCAAATTGAGATTTGGTCGACCTACGACAGTAGCTTTCACTTGCCATGGTCGCTCGTTTGAGCCTAACTTTTGAATGACATTTCCTGCTACATCGTATGCCACGAGTACTGGTTGAAACGTACACGGACTCTGCTGGCGACAGTCTCTCGGTGGTGAGATAAGTAAAAGTTGATTGATGATACTCAGTTCAACTGATGAGTTATCAAATGGTTCTTGTGCACTCAAGTTAGATGGGAAACTACCGTTTGTTACATTGAGATTTCTCCATGCCACTTGTAATTCACCTGCTTGATAACGATTGATGATAGTCGAAGCAATATTTGATAGAATTTCTGCTCGAATTCCAGTCGAGGCAATCGAACTAGTGCGAGGTTCATCACGCAGTTCAATCTGTAATTTTATAGGTAATAGAACAGATGATGTTTGACGACGAATACGACTATTGAATGAAAGATACAATAATGTAAAAACCAAACAAAAACTTAAAACTCTTACGTTTGATTTGAGGCCGAGACAAGACTAACGTGCCGAATCTTGTCTGGACTGATATTCAAGAGAGCTGCCAAATTGGCAACAAGATTGCTGGAGTAAAATGATTCTGGATCCATTGGTGGGAAGCCAAAAGAGAGAATGAGTAGTGGTGATACTTTGATGTCGATCATAGTGCTACCATCAATAGCAAAATAGACCATTTGATAGGTTCTATTTGTGAACAAAAGAAATAACACATTCAAAATTGAATTATTAGAAAAAAAGGCGACTTTGATACAAAAAAACAATAAAATAAAATAAATAACAGTGTTCTCAGAATCAATTTTACTCTGCTCTTCTAAGAGTCTTCAAGAAGTGTAATAAGTCTTCTATAATGCTTACACATACTCCGTGCATAGAATCTTTCTTGCTAGTACTCAAAATGATTTTTTTTACTTCCGTTGTTCAAACATGATTTTTTTCTTGTTTTATTATTGAGAATATTGTGAGGAAAAATTCGAACCGATCAAAGTAGTTGCTTCCAGATGGTGACAATAATGTGACATTATTTGGTTGATCAAGTAGCATGAGACCAGGCGCTCGAAGATCTCGATTAGTTGGCGGTATGTACATCGTATTGGCATAGACATCGATTTGTTGTAATGAATCGTAGCGAAGAGCCAAAACACATTTTATTGTAGAATCAGCATTGAGCAAGCGAAAACGTATATGTCTAGGGGGAGTACTTGAAAGAAAAATTTGATACGTTTGTCCAGATTGAACAATGGCCATGAACGTTGAGATACGCTTTCGACAAGAATACCCATTGCAGATGCTCTGATCTTGAGGTCCATTGATAAGATCAATGTAGCCACTATTGGACATGATAGCAACAGGTGAAAGACGCCGTTTTTCTGTGTCCGAATCCATACTTTCGATGATCAACATACGATAATCAATACTCGAATTACATATATACATTCCCCACGACGATTGAAGAGAACAGGAATTACTACGACTGATCCCACGATATGGATGAGTTAAGTTGATGTTGATTGTGTGTCCGGTCAAATTGGTCAATGCTATTCGAGGAATACGGGGATCTCCGATACCATGCTGTTGACTTCCTAAATAAAAAGCGTTTCAATGTTTTTTTTTCTCTCCTTCATATACTACCGATTACTAACCCCACAGAGATTCAGCCTGTGAAAAGACACTAGCTGGCTGACCGAAAAGTGATCCATCCGTATCGATAATCAAATTCTTTTTCAAGCCATCACAATCCATATCTGCAACAATGATTTATTCAACAAACAAATTCGTCCGTAACTTAGACTTACCGCCGCATCTGCTTGGATTTACCACACCTAAATTTGGCTGGCCATTGAAAATAAGATTTTCTTGAGATATATTATAGACAAACATGGAACTTGTTGCGATTGGAAATTGTCCATCATCATTGCTCTGTGACACTTGAATCGCTACATCGTGTCGACCACAAGTATCGTTGAAGAAAGCAAGAGTCGTATTGGTGATGAACATGAGACCATTGACTAGAATATTCGAAAACATCATTTAACTATCGATTAATAATGCTCGGTGTTAACTTACGACAAGGATAAGTACCAATTCCAGTCCAGGAGCGAATAGGCATATAGTTGTTTCTTGAAATAGTTGGAAAAACTATACCAGATCGACCACCAGCATTACCAGAAGATGAGTTTGCTGATACGCCAGGTATTGCAATTTGTGATAACCGAATATTGATCGAATTCGGATTAATTCTATCTTCACAATCTTCTCTTGTAATCGAACCGACTACTAGCGAAGAACGAATATTGACGCGACTGGCAACCGACACATGTGTTACAGCTAATCGTTCAAAGAAAACTCAATAGTAGGAAGAAAAAAAATCAATGAAAGCTATCGTTACCTGATGGCCCAATAACATAAGTGAAAATGCCAACATGACTGTCGATAGATGAACATGAATCAATGGTAATATTGCGAGGTGTATTGATGTAGAAAGCATAGTACCATGCCTTGTAAATCCTATTTATTTTTGACAAAAAAATTTAGAACCATTCGTGTTAGTATTTGAAGTAAATATTGGCAAGCTTTTGTCTTTTCTAATCATGCGCTGTCTTTGATATATTCTAAACATCCATGATACTGACCAAACATGTCTTTATAATGACATGTATATGCTGTGTCAGAAGCTTAAATTTACGAACTACATCGGTATTAAGATATAGGTTATGAGTCATGAAAGACAAGTCCCATTCATCGTTTGTGTATATGTTTTGTTATCTATCTTCCAGATACAATTGATTCGTCAAAGACTAAAGCAATATTGTAAATGTTTTTTTCTCATATTGCTCAATCTGTAATGTGCTAGGATTTCCTATTTGAGAGTCATTCTACACCATATGCTAGATCAAGCACAAAAACGTCAGAACTATCAAATGAATTTTTTTCGCCGTACGCCAATATTCACATATGCTTTTTTCAATCCTATTCCAAACATTGTCTATATTACTATTGTCTCGATCTGTACAAGAATAGTGTACTCAATATAGTTATAGATATAGTAATTGCATTTTATGTTTGCATTGCTTTTCATACATACTTGAATCCTTTGATTAGAACGCATTCTAGAATAGATAAAGAAGAGAAAATATGAATGCTTAAATACTGTTTGAAGCACCTACTTCGATCATATGTAAATCCTTTGTCCGACGGCCAAAGGTTAACGCCAGACATGACTGAATGTGCTTCATTATTCGAATATTCGTTGATTATATTCGGTGGAATATAAATATCTTGACCTCCACATGATTCACCAGGGATACGGTAGGCCAAACGTTCAACGCCCGCAACCAAATTATTCTATTGGAGAAAAGAGGTCACTTATGAAAATTGAACAATGCACTTAAGATATCAATACAAACTCGTAATCTCATACTGGTAGCATCACGAGCCATAATTGCACCATCATAATTCGAACTAAATTGAGCAACCGATGGATCTTGGCCTGTACCTACCCAGTAGACAGTTGTGACGAGATTATTTTGAATGATATTGTTCATTCCAGTTACAACAATGCCTGATCGATATGTGTTGTATATAACATTGTTTGTCATTAATATGCCATTCGTGCTTCGTATACCAATACTATAAATGGAACATTTATAAAAAGAAGCAAGCGATAACATTCTACTCACGCTGCATTAAATCCACCATCGAACGAGCAAGCATCAATGAAAGAAGGTCTATTTGGATTGTAATCACCGAGATGATACATATAAATACCTGATCGCTGATCACTATTGTAACCATCAGCCAATTGTCCGTAGCCGATAAATTGCGTATTCGACAGTCGAGCATAACCTTTGTAGTATGCATTGTACATGGTATTGGAGTAAATATGTAATACATCTGTTCGATAGTCAGTGACCAAAATTCGGAATCCAGATAGACTAGATCCTGGATATTGATTGATTATCCGTACGTTACGTGTCAATAAACCAACTGCAGCAGCCACACTAATCGTTTGTCCATTTGCTAGTGCATGTTGAATAACGAGGTGGGTATATGCCAATGGTACTTGAGTATGTATTATCGTCGCATTTTCAATATTGATAATGCGATGTCGCTCGGTGTGAGAAATGCTCGTATCTGTGGTTGTTATAATAATTTCATCGTTGACAGTCCAATTGACCCGTTCACTCAGAATGATAACATTTTGACTTGACATAGCAGTCACTGCAAGACGTGTCCAAGTGATTCCACGTGACATACCATGCAAATCGAGGCCACCCAAAACACCGATAGTTTGTGACTCTTTCACAGGGAAATTCCAAGGCAATTGTATAGTAACTGGACCGGTATTTCTCAAAATAATGTCAACACTACCATTGAAAGGAGCGTTAGGTAAACCTATCAAAGGTTCACAAAAATGACTACCATTTCTTCAGCGTTAAAATACTTACCAACAATCAATCGACCACCATTAATAAAGATGCTATCAGCATACATTACATGACTTCCTCCCTGAAAACAGCAAAAATTAAAAGACAACATATAAATATCTGACAAGAAAGAGAATCATACTTGTTGAAATTCAACTACACCCTCAATTTTCAATGACCGAATAGTTGGAAGTGGACAATCGATAACTAGCCAAATACAGCGAGGAACAAAAATATTTTTGTCGCTTCCAGGCTTCGCACCAACTGCAATAGATTTTCGTCATAAATGACTATAAAAGATAAAGAGTGAACTTACACCAATTAGCATAATCTTGTGGTCCGAATGTCCAGTGAGAATCAACTGACCAATATCTCACATCGAGAGCTTGACACTAAAGAAAGATAGATGAAACAAAAATGTTTTTTAATCGAATAGTAGGCTTGAAAAATATAAGACTAGCCAAACT